AGCCCTGTGTGGTTCTGGGTTTCCCCGTACACACAGCATGATGAAGCTTATCTTAAAATTAGGCACAGTAAAAAATTAAAAACAGTGCCTAATAACAAAAGCAAACAATTATGAGAACACATTGTAGTAAAGCCTGTGGTTTGGGGGCCATTACTTGAACATCAGACTGTGACACTCTGACTACATTGACCATGCCACCTGATGACTGGCCAGTGGGCAGGGGCTCACGCAGCATGTACACACTGGGCAAAGGGCTGGTTCTTATCTGTGGGATGGAACAGGAGGAAAACCTCCCACATTAGGTCAGGGTTTCCCACCAGMTTTGAGTCACAGACCATGGCCACACCATTCACAGGAGGGGAGGCTGCTCCAGAACACCAGAACTCCAACATGCCCATATGCCTTGAACAATTCCACACACCCTGCGATGGGTGAAATACCCATTACCCCAGTTGGGAAATTCAGACCTCTCTCACTAGTGAGAACTAGCCGGGGTGCAGGTGAGGGGACGTGGAGGGCACCAGAGCATCCGACAGAAAGAAATGCACAGACACAACATCTGGTCCACGTCAGACCACAGGGAGAGCCAGTGTCCTGCACACCAAGTAGAACCTGGAAGGCTCTGGGTAGACTCTGTGGTGTGACTGGTGATTGGAGAGTGGAAACCCCAMTAGGGGTTCATAAAAAGCCCTCTCCCTGTGAGCCATTCCCAGCCAGCTACTGTCCCCCAGTTAGGAAGATGGAAGCTGGAGAGATGAGATCTAATAGGAAAACATTTCACAGGAATGTCCATCTGGGCCAGTCTCATCACCTCCAAACAGGTACCACAGGACTCACCTGTGACGTCCAGGTGGAAGGAGACCTTCTGGCTCCCTGCCTCGCAGCTGTACTCCCCAGCGTCCACCTTGCCAGCCTGCTGCACCACCAGCTGCCGCCTGCAGCCAGAGGCCTCCACACACACCTGGGAGCTCTGGCTCAGCTTCTTCCCGTCCTTGTACCACGTCACCTCTGTCTGGGCCTGGGCCACCTCACAGCTCAGAGTGGCGCAGGATCCCGCCTCAGCCTTCACCTCGCTGCGTGCCGGCTGCTCCTTGGCAAATACCACCTTGGGCTCTGGGGACAGAGGGGAAGGACACACAAGTCAGGGACTCCAGAACACACCCAGCCCTGTCTCACAGCCTAAGCCCACCCCAGGGATGGCTGAGCAGAGGGTCCATCATGAGTAGAACATTGCATGGCCATGCCTAAGTTCTATCCTACGCATGACCAAAGCTGCAAACTCCAAGGCTGGTGGGTGGACAGCTGGGCAGCCTGTCCTCATCAGAGCCTAAGCACTTCCTGATCCACTCTGATCCTGCAGGTAACTGCACTGTCACAGCCCACAAGGCCACCACAGCCAGGCCTACCTCCTGATGCCACCACCCTCCCAGCCATTGGGAATAGACCATGACCCTTCTCTCTCCCTGGGACCCCAGCCCATCAGTGGCTTCCCAGCTCTACCACTAC